TTTTTCTCCAGAATTATTTTACAAATACAGTTTACTAACAAATATTGCTAGTATTATTTTTGGAAAATAAATGGAGAGAATATTTGGGCCTCTTTGGTATTGGCTCAATAGTATATGTGGAATAGCTTAGGAGTATTATAACTTTTAGCACACGCTAGAAACTATTTATATTTGGTAGTCGAAAAAGTGTATAAAATTTGTATAATTTTTGTATATAACTTACAATATATATATATATTATTATAAAAGCACAAATATTAGAATGTTAAATGTTGAACGACAAAAATATTCCCATAATATTGACTAACGTTCATATCCTTCACAAACTAAAGTTTCCTTCAAAGAAACAAATTACACGTTGGATAAAATTGCACTACTAAAAAAAATTTAAACTATTTGGACGTTGATTTCCACTAGAAAATAGGATCCTAATTTCAGTATACTTGATCTAGGGCTGTCAAATTTGGCCCAAGCCCAAATGATTCGCCCAATCCGTCCAAGGTTGGGTTGGTTATTGACCCGCCCATTTATTGAACTTAGCCCATTTTGACCCAACACATTTCAGCCCAATTAAAGTTGGACTAATTTTTAGCCGAAATTGATCCATGAGTAAGTTTGTCAAAATATCTTATAAATAATTTTATTTTTTGTTTAATATTTTTAAATATGACCATAACAAAAGCCAAAAAGCCTTATTTAGTAATTATATAATTTATAAGAAAATAACACATATTAATTAAAGTTTAATAACAGTTGGGCGGGTTGGGTTATGACCCGAATTTTAACTCATCTTGACCCAACTCATCTTATCCCAAGTAACTTTTGGGCGGGTCAAATTATTGACTCAACCCGCCCATTTGACACCCCTAACTTGATCTATACAAATTTAAGTTAGGCAATGATTGTTCCTTCTCATTATAATAATAAGATCACTTGATCTCACACAAAATTATTACTTGGAAGTTTGAATTATAAGAAACAAACTGGTTCAAAGTAAAGTAAAAGTAAGACGAGAAGTTATCCCCTAACTCGCATGGCATCTTCTCAAAGCAAGAAAAATTTAATTCCAATTGAAAGACAACTTAGATTATTGGTTATTTTGATGAATAAAAAAGACTACCATACCGAAATAGAGTTCCAAAATCCCAAACACAATGCTTTTGGATTTTGGCTCTCATTGTTAATTCTTTTGTTCCATTATGCCCAAATATCAAGTTTAGCTCAAATTCATTTCTTATATAAAATAAAAATAAAAAGAAACAATCAAGAATGGAATAAACAATTATTAAATTTATAAAGATGAAGATCAATCTTATCTCACATGGAATATCAATAACCAAGAAAATTTAGATAGAAAAGCCCCATGAAAAGAATTGATGGGCACTTAGCAGTCAGACTTACTATTTTTCATTTAATTTCGCTCGGAAGACTACACTCATACATAATTTATTTAAATGATAATCTTATGCGTTTAGATTTCTATTTTTTTATGAATATTTAAAGGGTTAAACCCCAAAAATAGAATAATTTAGTGAAATCAATATGACTATCATTTTAGTTTCAACTAATCTTTTACATTCTTTATTGTAGAGAAAAATAATGTTGATCAAATATAATATTTATTCGAGATTTTTTGCATTGTAATAAAAACTATCATACCTCATTCTTTTTATGAGTGACTTTTACTTTGCCTGCTAAGAGAATTGCAAGGAAGGTGATGCATTATATTTTTGAGGAATTATTATTGAACTTCCAATATATTTAGTTACAATTAATTTTAGAATACGATGCATTCAAAATTTTATTAGTACTACTTTTGGATAGTGCTTCGTAATATTTGACTGAAAATATTTGTGCATCGCACGAACGTAAAGACTAGTTATAATAAATGCATGAATAAAATGTTGGATTTCAAAAACAACTTTTTAATATTAAGCATAATAACTCATAATAAAAGGATATAAATCGAAATTCTAGACATTAGCCTTGTAATCCTATTAGTTTTAGGACATGATACTGTACGATAGGAATCCTACGTGATTACCTTTAGGAACCCTATTAGTACAATTATTTTCAGGCATAGATATTAGCCTTGTAATCCTATTATTTTTAGGATATACATCTTAAAAAATTTCTATTACTAAATTAATTTGAAAACGTACTATATTGTCCAAATCCATTTAGAAACCGAAGATCCTATATTATTATAAAAACTGAATATAATATTAATAGACCAAAATAGCCCTAAAATATTAAACTGAAGAACTCACAGGGAAAGGACGTAGCTGTAATAACTTATTTTTTGGACTACAATAACTTCTATGTTAGTTTTTTAAATATTTAAGATTTTAAAATTAATACAATCTTGTCTATTGAATTCTTATTAAAAATATGTATAAGGTTTAATAAAATAAATTTCATAAGAATCCTCCACATTGATAATACATTACCACTCTATAATATTCAATAACCAAAAAAAAAGTAATGTTAAACGAACTGCATAAAACATTGAAATTGAGAAAAAAAATCCACGATAATATATTATTATATTATATTTGAATTATTTTCCTACTCAAATAATATTTTATTATTATTAATATTTTGTGTAATATAGAAAAATATACCCAATTATTAAAGAACAACTAAGAAAATTTTTAAGAATATAAATGTGTGAGAAAAGAAAGAAAAGGGTTGGTAAGAGCCGATACCACTTGTGATTTTGAAAACATAAAGATCTAAAAAGTGAAATGTCATCGATCCTTTTACTCTTTGAAAATAAAATTTATTATGGATAAAATTATAATCACGGTTACATATTCAAACACGAGATAAACTAATATTAAGAATCTAAATCAACAGAAAATAAATTATATTTTACGTTAAAACCAAATAATCAAATATTTCAATTAATTATTTAGCAAGAGAATCCAATTAAATTATTTTTTAATTCATTATATGAATAACAATATTTTTCAAGTAAAAAAAAAATTAGAGTACATAAATTTATTCCATAAAAAGAGTGTTAAAGATTAAAAAAATAATATCACAAAGTAAAAAAAGATTAGTATAATATTAAGAAAGTCATACAAGTGCTTGAGGAAGCACAATCAAAGTTAACTCCTGAACAAGAATAGGCTTTCAAAACTATATTATAAAAAATTGACTCTGGTATAGCGGTATATCCTTTGTAGATGCCACCAGCTGATTCAAAATAATATTCCTATGTCATGCATTACTTGCAAATGTCAAATCAAAATGCATAATATTGCTAGCAATAAAAATAAGTGGTGTACCAACAATGGTTTTATTATGAGGTCATACAACTCACTTCAGATTTGATATACCTCTTCAAATAACTGAAATAATCATCATAAATATATCAAATCAGAGTAATAGTGCTAAATTTATAAGGAAATCAAAAGTGATAATATGAGATGAAGCGCTTTTGGCTAATTGTCAAATGATTGAAATAATCACCCAAAGTTTTAGAGTATATTGGATATCGATGAACCATTTGGTGAAAAAGTAATAGTTTGAGAGGTAATTTCTGTCAAGTATGATCAGTAGTTCCAAAATTGACCAAAGCAGAAACTGTAAAAGCTAGCTTGCCAAAATTATACTTATGACCTAAAATGAAAAATATTCAAATGACAAAAAATATAAAAGTAAGAACAAATCCAACATTTAGTGACTTCTTGCTTCGTGCCGGAAACGAAAAAGAGCATCCAATAAAAGATGATTTAGTTCTTCTATAACACTTGGTAATCAACCCCAATGGTAATAGTAGTGCATTTAATAAGGAAAATATTTTCATCATTAGATTAAAACGCATTTTGTGCAAATTACATGATAGAATTTAAAGAGCTATCTTAGCTAGCAGAAATGAATATATTAATCAACTAAATAAAAGGTTGATTGCTAAGTTTTATGGTAAAAATAATATATATTTTAAGTTTTGACTCAGTAGAAGATGATATCAACAATAACTACCAAGAAGAATAATTAAATACTTTAATACCGAATGACGTTTCTACCGTACATGTTTGTTGTCAAGTTCATTATTTCTTGCGTATGTTAGTGTCACCACACACACACACACACACACATAATAAACTAAGTTAAAATTGATCTTCCAATGCATATAGGTTGATTTGAAGAAACATATGCCCGTCATGTTACTGAAAACTTAGATCCGCTGAATAGCTTATGTAATAGTACATATATGGTATATAGAAATTTTGATATAACGTCATACATATAAAACTTATGATACTTGTCAATATGCTTCTAAGTATGTGTTTATCCCCGAATTCAACTTTCGTCTTCCGAAGTAAAAGAATATCCTTTTAAATTTGTGTGAAAATAATTTTTAGTATGTTTATGTTTTGTAGTTATAATAAATAAAGTACAAGGACAAACATCCTAAATATTGAACTATATTTACCACAATATATTTTCTTACACGAATAATGATAGTGCACTTTCAAGAGAGATATCAATATCGACAATAAGAGTTTTGGTTATGGCAGAGTAACCAAAGCATTAGAAGGAAACATATACAAAAAAAAAACAGTTTATAAAAAAGTGTTCGGTAATATACCATCACATTAAATACCTTTAAACTACAATATATAATTATCTACTTAACATGACTAAAATTGTTTCTGATGACATCCTTTCATTTTCAATTCCGGTATAATGCTAATGCAACAATATTTTTCGGCATTTAAATGATTGTTGTTGTATTATATATAAAATTTCTCTCCTTAATTAAATTTTATTGTTCCTTCATATAAATAAATATTTAAACCATCATGTCATTATTAACGTGCAACACACATTTATAGATACTAATAAACAAAATATATAAATTTTATATATTTTTTTGACTATTATTTTTACAGCGGCTATTAGTGTCATTATTCCGATAGCAGCAGCTTAACCTTATGGACTCTTATTTCAAAAGCCCAAACAATATCTATCTCCATCGACCCAAATTGAAATCCAAAAACCTTATTAAACCCTTCGTCAGCTATACTTCTTCCCCTCCTCTGCATCTCTCCGGTGAACTCCTCGCCGTCAGTTTCTCCGGCGTAATCCATTTGTAAGCTCCCTTTGTTCTTTCACGCTTGTTTTATACCTATTTCCCTCGCTCTCCGAATTTTATATCTTTCATGAGACCGAAACCCGACTTTTCAACTGTGATTTTTTATGTTATAATAGGAATTATAAGTTGGCTGTAGTTCTTCGTCTCCTATTACCGGAAAAAAGCGTAATTTCTGATTTCTCGTTATTGTATGTAAATATTTACTGTTAATCTGCAGAGTAATTTGTTACCTGTGTCATAATGGCTTTAACCAAATTGAAAAACAAAATAAGGCCGTAAAAGATTAAATATGTCATAGAGCACAAATTAAATGGACCTGAAACAGTGGTATGGATATAGAGGATTCAGATAGACTATGTTTGGGGTCAAGAAAAAATTGAATGGTAGAATGATAGGTGATAGAGGCTGAAATTTTAACATAGATTCAATCCCATCCAGCATAGGCGGGTCCAAGATTTGAGCTTTATGATTCAAAATATATATTTAGTAGATTTCTTAACACGTATATATGGCCTAAGCTAAAGCTATTGGTTTTGGCTGAACTCCTAGCTTGTACTGTACAACCACCTTTCAGTTCACTCATCTGTTAGGTAGTTAGAGGATGATGTACAATGATGCAATATCTGCCCACTTTTTCGGGACAGAGAGTCTTTGCAATCTTTGTCAGTCCAACCCCCAAAGACTTGTCTCATCCATGAATGACATTGACTAAAAACACACTTGTAATTGAGTTAATATAAGTGTCTTAAAATCTCTAATAGATAGCACTTGTATATCTAATTTTGCCCATTGCTTCTCCTAGAGTCAGAGATATAGTAGCTATTATGGCGGATGAGGTGCCACAGCCTTTAAATTATATACCGGAAGTGATTCTAAAGAAGAGGAAAAATAATGAAGAATGGGCAATTAGAAGGAAACTCCAGCTGGAACAGAAAGTCAGAAAGCTCAAATCTGATAGCTTTGTTATCAAGAAGCCCGAGCAGTTTATTCGAGAGTACAGGGATAAGGTATGTTATATCTGAATTTGTTGTTTAAATTGCATATATTGGTTAACTCATTGGAATCTTTGATTTTTTCCTACTATGGTTAAAAGTTAATTTTCAACTTCTAGAAGTCGTATTCTGTTTCCAAGGGACATTGCATTTATCTCTTCAAGTAGCACTTTGATTAATGTTTTCAGAAAGAATTGGTAATGTCCTATCCCTAGTTGGTATCTTCTCCAATTTCTTTTTTCCCTTTTTCTTTTCCAATTGGCTTCAGCATTTGCTGTCTCTTTCAACGAGTATTTTTTAGGCATTTTGCTATAGTTTAATGGCACTGGTAAGCAACTGGTAAGCTATCTGGATAATATGTAGGTATGATATTTACTTTTGGTTAACCTTGCCGTCAAAAACTTCTCTATGACAGTCTACCATTTTGTAGGCCTACAAAATCAACAGGACACAATAATAACTATGCTCCTAGAAAGGAAGAATATCGTTTTTGGTAAGTTGTAAAAAAGAAGACCTTCTTGGAGTACAAACAGAGATGCAATAAGGAGAACAAAGTATCGTACATTAGGATGATTAAGGATATGTACGATGATGCTAAGACTTGGGTAAGGACTGTGGGTGGTGACTCGGAGCATTTCGCTGTGGTGATGGGGTTGCACCAGGGATCGACTCTTAGCCCATTTTTGTTTGCCTTGGTGATGGACGTACTGTCGCGTCACATCCAAGGGGAGGTGCCTTGGTGCATGATATAGTGTTGATTGACGAGTCGCGTAGCGGAGTTAACGCGAGGTTGGAGGTTTGGAGATAGACCTTGGAGTCTAAAAGTTTCAAACTAAGTAGAACCAAGACAGAATACTTGGAGTGCAAATTCAGTGTGACCCATGATGCAGGCATAAAGGTTAAGCTTGATGGTCAAGTTATCCCCAAGAGAGCGAGTTTTAAGTATCTCGGGTCTATTATCCAGGGTAACGGGGAGATTGACGAAGATGTCACGCATCGCATCGGAGCGGGATGGATGAAGTGGAGGCTCGCGTCCGATGTTCTATGTGATAGGAATGTGCCGTTAAGACTTAAGGGTAAGTTTTATCGAGTGGTGGTTCGACCCGCTATGCTGTATGGGGCTGAGTGTTGGCAGTCAAGAACTCTCACGTGCAGAAGATGAGAGTAGCAGAGATGAGGATATTGAGATGGATGTGTGGGTGTACCAGGCGAGATAGGATTAAGAATGAAGCTATCCGGGACAGAGTGGGAGTAGCCTCCGCGGAGGACAAGATGCGGGAGTCGCGGCTGAGATGGTTCCGACATGTTAGGAGAAGTAGCATTGATGCCCCTGTCAGGAGGTGTGAAAGGTTGGCCATGAAGAGTTTGAGAAGGGGTCGTGGTAGGCCTAAGAAGTACTGGGGAGAAGTGATTATGCAGGACATGACGCTACTTCAGCTCACTGAGGACATGACCCTTATAGGAGGGTGTGGAGGTCGAGGATTAAGGTAGAAGGTTATTAGGTAGTTTATAGTGTTCATCGATAAGCTTAGTAGCGTGCATGTCTCTTCATATTCTTAGATTTTTTATTACGGTATATGATTTTGTTCGCCTCAGGTATTCTATTCCCTATTGCTATTATTTGATAATACTTATCCTTTATCTCTCTCTTTTTTCTCTTCCATCTTTCTTTTTTCCTTGCTTCCCTCTTCTTCTTCTTGCCCTTCCTAAGCTGTGGGTCTATTGGAAACATACTCTCTACCTGCATTAGGTAGGGGTAAGGTCTGCGTACATACTACCCTCCCCAAACCCCACATATTGGGATCAAATTGGGTTTGTTGTTGTAAATTTTGAGGAGCATGGGGGGAAATGATATTTTTGTGGGCTTGGCATACACTAGTATCAGTGATACAAATTATCTGAAAAAAAAGTGCTTATGATATTGTTCTAATATTTTGAAACACAACTGAATGCCTAAGTTGCCTACTCCCCCCCTCCCTCCAAATAAAACCCCCAAGAAAACCCCCAAGTGCATAAGATCATCATGGTAGATTGAACAATCACATTGGTCATTCTGCTACTTATTGAGCACCATGAAAATGCTCTCTATTGGGGGATGTGCCAGGATCACTTTCTCTCTCCCACCCTCATCTCTAAACTCCGACGATGTCTTTCCTAAATTTGCCTAACTATGGATCGAAGGGTCACTTTCAATTCTAGTGGCAAAACTTTTGCATTAATTAGTATCAAAGAGGAAGCTAAGGGATGGTATATTTTTACAGAATGTAGCAGAAGATTTTCAAGAAAGATTAAAATAGATGACAACAACCTCCGATGGGTGTGCAAAGCTTTGATCCAAGCTTCTCTTCAGACCGGCAACAACTGTAAAAGATGGGGCAGGAAGATACAAACATACACTTTTCGGGTGGTCCAAAATTTTAACAGTTATGGTCGGTTTGTTAGAATTGAAGCTATCATAGGGACTAACAGACCTGCAATCATTATCCCGGAAGGCAATTACAATAAAGGATGGGGGACATAGCAGGAATGATACAAGGTTATCTGGGAACATATGTAGACCCAAGATTTCATCTCTATGCTGATCAATCAAGGTCTTACAAGGAAGCTGCTAATATATCACATTGGGCAACTACTACTAATACCAATGTAGGGCATGGAGCACTCCAGGAAGAGCTGGGAAATGAAAACTTCCTTTCAAAATGTCTCATAGGTCAGTTAAATGACCCATTTAGCTTGAGCCCAAAGGCAGAAGTGATTCAGAATTGGTTCCCAGGCAGATGGCAAGTCACAGCGGGTCTCAAGATCACTCCATCGAGCACAACCGGTTCCTTTTTGAGTTCCCTTCTAGATTCGAAGCAAACAGAGTCAAAGCTGGTGACTGGTTCTGGAATGGAAGAAGATTGACCTTGAAATGGTGGTCTCCGGTGGCCGGAGCAGATATGAAATCTGCAAAATCGGAGCATCGATGGGTGAAAGCTTTTGGAATTCCTATCCATGCATGGACGGCAGACACTTTCAAGTTCATCGGAGACAAGTGTGGTGGCTTTGTCGATACTGACGATGGCACTAAACATAGAGTCCACTTTTTTTGGGCACGTATCTGTGTGGTTAATCGAAGAGAAGAATTACCAAGAAATCTGGAGTTGATTACGGAAGACTGGGGCTTTGAAATCTCGTTACTAGAGGATGCTCATACAAAAATCAGACCCGCCGGAAAATGCTTTTCTGATGAAGCAAGGGAGAAGATGGCAGGAGTGGGTACCTCGAACCTTGCATCAGGCACAGTATCACATGTAGAAGAACAGGTTGGCAGGAACCTTGCATCAGGCACAACCTCACATGTAGAAGGACAGGTTGGCAACTTGGGTAAAGGGCTTTCCAATCCATCACAAAACTTGGGCCAAGGAGCAGATCAGGAATATTACAAAAAAGGCCCAATTAATAAGAAGACCACATCAAGGAAGTCAAAGGAGTCAAAGCTTTTTAATGAGAAAATAGTGTGGAGGGTAACTGGGCTTTAACCCAACCCAAATGCTTTAAAATTAAAAGAACTGGCAGCTGAACCCTCATTCTCGAAGGATCATAACACGACACAATCTTGCCCCATGGCTTTGGCAAACCAGAGTTTAGAAAACTCCCCTTCAGACGCAGATGAAGGGATCCCAGAAGAGAGAGTCCACTGGCCACTTTGCATACACTCGCCAACAATGGATTTGGTTCCAACAACTAGCTCAGACACGGACTTTTCTTCTCAGGCAGTATTTGAAGCCCTTCCACTAACATGGTATGAGGGAGGTCCTAGCGCACAGCTAATTGATACTCCATCCCTAATCGAGACTTCAAAATGGACCAAACTCACTATGGTCAAGGCATGCAAGGCCTTTGGGGTGAATGCGACAGGGTTCGAGCATGATCTTCTGAACATAATTCTAAGGATGGAGCAGCGAAGACAAGTCCAAATCCAACAACAGGAATCAAAACAAAAGGCAGGAAAGGAGAAGAGGAATAGAGGAGGGGGGAAAGGAAAAGATTAGCATGTGGGATTAATTATGACAGAAGAGGGCAGCAGGTTAAGGGGTTGGGGGGTAGGCAATACCATTCATGTTCTGGATGAAGCTAAAAATCTTGAGTTGGAATGTGCGGGGGTTGAATGAGGATTGGAAAAGAAGCACCATTAAATCTCTCATTCAGAAGTGGAGGGTGGATATTTTGTGTTTGCAGGAGACTAAGGTAGAAGATTGCTCTACTAGAATGATTCAACAATTATGGGGGAATAGATGGGCTGATTGGGTGGAGTTAAAAGCTAGTGGTACCAGGGGAGGGATTGTGGTGATTTGGGACAAAAGAAAGTGGGTCAAATTAGATGCACACCGGGGGTCTTATTCCATTTCTTGTATGTTAGAAAGCACCACATAAGTGTTCAGATGGTGCTTCACAGGAATCTATGGATCACACAACAATCCAGGGAGAGAAGTAATGTGGAGTGGGATTGCAGGAATAAGTGGACTTTGGGAAGATTATTGGGTAGTGGGAGGTGACTTCAATGTTGTTAGGTTTGAGAGTGAGAGGCTGAATTGTACTAGAAGATCAAAGGCAATGAAGTTGTTCTCTGATGTTATTCAGGACCTAGATATTATTGATTTTCCTTTACAGGGGGCTCAATATACCTGGTCTAAATGAGACAATTGTTTGCAGGCTTCGAGAATTGACAGGTTCCTTATCTCCAATGATTGGGATGACTCTTTTAATGCTGTGAGACAGATTGCCTTACCTAAGGTAATTTCAGATCATAGACCAATTATTTTGGAGAGTGGTGACTGGGATGCAACTCCTTCCTTCTTTAAGTTTGAAAACATGTGGCTTCAATCAGAAGGATTTCTAGGCAAACTAAAATGGTTAGTATAAGAATAGAACTACAACAGTTAGCCAAAGCAGAAGAAATTTCATGGAGGCAGAAATCAAGGTGTCTTTGGCTTAAGGAAAGGGACAGAAACACCAAGTACTTCCAGAAGATTGCCAACTCTCATAGAAGAAGCAATTGCATAGACAAACTCATGGTCGGGGATGAGATCATAGAAGATAAGGAGCAGATAAAGTAGGAGACACTGGATTTTTTTGAAAACTTGTACATTGAGCAGGAAAGTTGGAGGCCATCTGCTAATTTTGAAGAAATTGCAACCATTACAGAAGAAGAAAAGGAGGGATTGGAGGCATCTTTCAATGAGGAGGAGGTTCTTGCAGCTATTAACTCTAGTGCTCCTGACAAAGCACCAGGGCCTGACGGGTACACAATGGCTTTCTACCAACACTCATGGGAGTTCATTAAACATGACATACTTTCAGCTATGAGTTACTATCACCAACATTGTTGGATGGTTAGGTCATGTAATGCATCCTTCATTGTGCTCATTCCTAAAAAGAAAGGGGCAATGGAGCTAAGGGACTATAGACCAATTAGTCTAATTGGCAGTGTGTATAAGATCATAGCTAAAGTCCTAGCTGAAAGGTTGAAGAAAGTAATGGGAAAATTAGTCTGAAATCAACAGAATGCATTCATCCAAGGAAGGCAGATTACAGATGCTTTGTTGATAGCAAACGAGGTCCTTGAAGTTAAAGCAAGGGGATGCAGGGATTCTATGTAAGCTGGACATAGAAAAAGCCAAATGGGATTTGAGGAAAGATGGTTAAAATGGATCAAGTTCAATATCTCCACTGTGAAGTACTCCATTCTAATCAATAAGAGCACAGTTGGTTTTTTCTCTCCACAGGGGGGATTGAGACAGGGAGACCCACTCTCACCATTCCTATTCATATTAGCAATGGAAAGACTCAGTAGGATGTTGGATAAAGCTAAGCAGCTGCAATGGTTGAAAGGTTTTGATGTTGGGAGAGGAAGCACGGTCAATATTTGACACTTTGATTTTTTGTGGGGCAGACAGAGTCAAGTGCTCTATCTAAATCTAACCCTTCTTATACTTGAAGCTATTTCCGGTCTTCACATTAACATGCTCAAAAGTGTAATCTACCCTGTTAATGAGGTGCATAATTTAGAAGACTTGGCTGGAATTTTAGGCTGCAATACTGGATGTTTACCAACTTATTACCTGGGACTTCCACTAGGGGCAAAGTTTAGGTCACGAGCTATATGGAGTGGGGTCATTGAGAAATTTGAAAAGAAACTTGCTTCTTGGCAGCTGCAGTATTTGTCTATGGGTGGAAGACTAACTCTAATCAGTAGTGTGCTAGACAGCATCCCAACCTATCAGATGTCACTCTTTCCAATGCCTAGTAAGGTCCTGAAGCAGCTTGACAAGATCAGAAGGAATTTTCTATGGGAAGGGACTAAAGATGGTCACAAGTTTCACCTGGTAAAGTGGTCTAAAGTTATCTTACCAAAGCACCAAGGTGGACTAGGGGTCAGAGACTTAGCTTTGCACAACAAATGCTTATTGATGAAATGGCTTTGGAGATAAACACAGAAGAAGCAGAGCCAATGAAAGAAAGTTGTCAATGCCAAGCATGGATCCCAAAGCCACTGGTGCACCAAGCTATCTAGAGCACCACATGGAGTTGGAGTTTGGAAGAGCATCTGCGAACTCTGGGAGGAGTTCTCACAGCACTTCACAGTTGGAGATGGACAGCAAATAAAATTCTGGAAGGACAAATGGCTAGGCAACACACCCCTAAGGAATGACTACCCTGCTCTCTTTCAAATGGTTAGTGATCCAGACTCAACGATTCATCAGCGCAGAGAAGGCAACTCATGGAACATAACATTTAGAAGGAACTTGCAAGATTGGGAATTGAGGATCTGCTCAGACTCCTTTCCTCACTAAACAATTTCTCAAGCAACACTCTAGTACTTGACCAGTTCAAATGGGGTAGTGCAGATGCAGGAAAGTACTCGGTCAAAGTAGTCTACAAGCTAGCAGGAACTCACAATGTAATAACTAACCATTGGCCTTGGAAGTTAATATGGAAAATCAAGTTGTCACCCAAAGTCATCTGCTTCAACTGGACTGCACTTTATGAGGCTTGTTTGACACAAGACAACTTAGCCAAGAGGAATTTTCAGATTGTGAATAGATGCTACATGTGCCAGAGGGAGGCAGAAACTCACAACCATCTTTTTCTTCAATGCCCCGTTGCAACAGATTTATGGAGTATGTTTATATCACTCTTTGGACTTAGATGGGTCTTATCAAAAAAATATCAGGGATGCTTTTGAGTCTTGGAGTTACTGGAAAGTTGATAGCACCACCATAGCACCACCAGGAAAGTATGGAAGATGATACCTGCAGCTATTTTTTTGGAGCATTTGGAATGAGAGAAACAGCAGGTGTTTTGATGGAGTATCAACTTCTCCCCACAAACTCAAGGCTAGATGCCTCATGTATTTGTATAGCTGGGCTTATCTATCCCCTATAGACTCCCCCGATAGTTTTTTGAATTTTGTTAGCTCCCTAGTACTAGTATAACCATTTGTAAGGAGCTAACAATTGCTGCACTCTTTTGTAATTTATGCATCTTCTTGATGCCAGTAATAAAATCAATTACTTCATCAAAAAAAAAAGATCATCATGGTAGATTGCTTTCTGACTCACTAACTTTTAGTTGTTGTACATTGTACATTCAGGAGATGGACCTTGTCCAAATGAAACAAAGGGGAAAGAAAAGAATCAAGCGAGCCTTGATCACGCCAGATTCCATTCTTCTATTTGTCATACGTGTTGGAGGGTAGGTTCCTAGTTTTGTTATCACAATTATACTCTTTTGGCGGGTGTGGCCTGCCTTTGGGTCCTAATATTTGTGATTCACCTCAGGAAAAGTGATATGCATCCGAAGACAAGGAAGCTTTTATACTCTTTAAGGCTGCGAAAAATCTTCAGTGGAGTGTTTGTAAAGGCAAATGCAAGAATAATGGAAATTCTGCAAAAGGTGGAGCCTTATGTCACATATGGGTATGTATAGTTATTTACATTCTTATTATTGCACTAGCATTCACTTAATTCGTCTCTCTACTAGATATCCTTGAATCACACAACTCTTATCAGTTAATACCAGATGTTATGCTTGCTCGGAGGGTTGACATTTTTAATATATTTTCCTAATTTCACCAAGTATGGAAAATTAGTAAGTCAAATATAGTTGCACAAAAATCCTCCTCTGTCTAGCTCCCGCTTCTACTCAAATTAGAGCAGCCAAAGAAACCTTGTTTGGTTTTTACTGACTAGTTATTCAGCTCTCATATGGCTGTTTACCCTATTTATCATTTTTCTATAGTGGTTTTCTCTATTAAAAGAGGTCAAAGTTCTATCTTCAGTTTCTCTCTCTTTGAGAGTGAAAGTTCTTCCTCCATCAAAAAGGGGATATCGGTTTTAATAGCCTGTTTGGTCAAGCTGGAAAAACCAGCTTATTTTGAGAAGTATTTTTTTTTTTCAAAAAGTGTTTTTTTCCTTTTGGTAAGAAGCAGTTTGTATTTTTGAAAAGCACTTCTAAAAAGCAATTAGCGTTTAGCCAAACTTTTAAAAAGTGCTTCTAACTAGTATATTTTTTTCAAAAGTGCTTTTCAAAAAAGTGCTTTGGGGAAGAAATTACTTTTTTCTGCTTCTCCAAACTGGTTCTGCTCCTTCCCAAAAGTATTTTTTTTTCCTCCTAAAAGCTTGGCCAAACATGCTATAATTTTGTCTCTTTAACCTTGGCATATGTAATCAAACAACAACCCCTCATTTGGAGGTTGGGTAATTTACTTTTTGTCCATCTCTGATTGAATGTTCTTCCTTTCCTGCATCTTGAAAGCAATGACACAAACAAGAATTCTACCATGTATTATGTGACACCAGAAGTCACATTCAACCTCCTTTATGGATACATGGAACTATTTTTTACGTCAGGTATTCTTTGTTTGGTGAGGATATTCAACACCGAATATAAAGGAATTAGAAGCAGGAAATACTAATCCTTGTGCATAACCGCATTAACAATCAATGTGCTTTTCATTTTTTTGCTTTGAAGATACCCCAATCTGAAGAGCGTGAAGGATCTGATTTACAAGAAAGGTACTGGAAAAATTGACCAGCAAAGGGTGCCTTTAACTAGCAATGACATCGTGGAACAGGTGCCTTTGTTTCCTTTCCTTCTCATAACTACCATAGCAGTTGATCTCGTCACTCTACGTTTTGTGGGCATCCCTGCATTGGTATCATGTGGTAACTCAACTACTTATTTTGGCAGACACTAGGTCAGCATGGCATCATATGCTTAGAAGACGTCGTGAGCGAGATTGCTAATGTTGGTCCACACTTCAAGGAGGTCTCTAGCTTTCTATGCCGCTTTGCTCTCACCAAGCCAGAGAAAGCTTTGCAGGGAAAGAAGAGGCGATACAAGGATGGCGGCGATTCAGGAAATCGTGAGGATCACATCAATGAATTGATCTCTAAGATGAATTAGCATAGACAGGTCCTAGTTTCCAGATCAAATGTTGTTGAGTGTTATCATTGCGGTTTTGGTGTGGGTTATTGTAAGATGGAGCACCTAAATCACTGTCAACATGGCATAACAGCTGAAGAAATGAAATGTTAGGTGGGAATCTTTTCCCTTCACCCATTCATTTATCTCATATAGTTGCCTTTTGCTTATTTGTGCCTCGAAGCCATTAAAAAGAATGATCTGATATGCTTTTCATTATTGGACCACGTGTTTCTGCTGCTGAAGCGAAAACTCCAGAAATGCTCTTTGACTGTATGAGCAAATGCAGCAAGCATAATAAACAAAACTGCACTATCATCAAAGGAAAAAGAAAAATTTACAAATCATGGACGATTGGGAATAAAAGGCTTTACCCCAGTGCTGATCATTGGGGAAAAGATGGAGAAAATCAAAAGGAACCAAAAGAAAAACTTCAGACAGCCTAACAGACGTCAATTATAGAAAGGACCTATCAATATCAGCTTAAACCAGAAATAAGCAAGTTCAAGTGCATATTAGTCTCGCACTTGGGGTAAAATCAAAGAGGCAATAAATTGCAACCCACAGATTAGAAAAGTTATTCCTCAGCAGCACTAACCAGCAATATCACAAACTGTATTGGAATTTGAATGTCCTACTTCAAACATTATCATGGAAGATATGCTGAGAGTAGGGGGCAAAAGGACAGATCGGATCGGATATGAGCTGGTCAAATAGGTAAGTCAAAAAACGGATAAATTATCCGATCCGGGCAATTTTTGAAACGGATAAAAAAACGGATTATCCGGTGAATAATATGGATATTCATATTATATGTCGCTTCTTGAATATGATCACCTATAGGAGCATTCCTAGTCTTCCAAACTTGAGAAACCCTAATTTGAGACTTTACAAATGTAAAAGTTAAACACATTAGTTATTCATTTGGTTAACCATTTTCTAAGTGAATAATACGGTTCTTATTCATATTCGACCCGTTTTAAAATAGTTCATTATACAACCCATTTTTTAATGGATAATATGAGTGTATAACTGTTTTATTTTAACCCTTTTGCCACCTCTAGCAGAGAGTAACGCATTCAGAGCAACTCCTGATCACATCTGACAATAGCTACCAGCTAATGTTTCATATACGAAAGCTTCGGTGGCGTTGCAGATCTTAATCTTGCAGCAAAACAAAGATTTAACTATGTCAACCTTATTCCTCAGAAAGTTCAGAGTACAAACTAACTTTCCCGTCAAAGCCTTGAGATGCGAACCATCAGATTTTTTCACTGGTTAAGGGAATATCAGGATATTTTACTTGTAAGAAGCCATGAGAGAGACCCCTCATGTTTCACTTTCCAAGTCTTTGAGCAAAGTAAGGTCATAACAATTTCCAAAATTAAATTTAACTCCTGATCAGCTGCCAAACCTGGTCAGAACATTACTTACAACGAAAATGAACAGTAACAAACCTCTGACAATCTGCTGAAATGATGAAAAAACCTACCATCATCAACATAAAACAGGAATAAACATGTTAAGAGTTCTCCAAATCACCTTATATTTTCCTTTTTCTTTTTTAAAGTCTCAATCTACTAGCCACTTGATCTTCTTCTCCCCTTTTTTTAAAAAATAATTTCTCCTAATCACATGATCTTTCAACAACAACAACAACAAAACAACCAAAATAACCAGCGTAATTCCACAAGTGGAGTCTGGGGAGGGTAGTGTGTACGCAGGCCTTACCCCTACCTTGTGAGGGTAGAGAGGCTGTTTCCGATAGACCTTCGGCTTAAGAAACACAAACAGGAAGCAACCAACAATAACAACACAAGAAAAAACAAAGCTACGATGTATAATAACAAAGATCTAAAAGTAAGAAGTACAAGAATACTACTAACAAAACTGGTAAAAATGACACAATATGGGATAACAAAGATCTAGGAACATGAAAATGTAAGAATAGTACTAATCTTTCATCAAACATAAACCAGCAGCACCTGCGCCGGAATTTGTACATCCTGCTTCAAACATCATAGAAGATAGGACCAGAGACTCATGGATTAGAAGTCTAAAGTAATTATCCGATAACTAAATGCCAAACAGCAAGTCTCCTGGAACAGGAAGAGTAGTTCAAGCAAGAAAGGCAAGGACACAATACTCAAGCGACTATAAAAGGAAACCTGGAATGCATTATGCCAAATGATGCTATTATTGTATAGACGCACAAACCAAGCTAAAATGCAACAGCATCAAGTACAAGATGCTGACTGGCTAATAGCAAGGCATGCACAAGGGCAATACATGTAGTTTACCTTGTTTGGCGAAAGGTAAGAGATTCTCTAGATTGAATTTCCTCATCCATTCATTTTTCGTTTTAGTATTACGGGAAATCTGAAAATGTTCCCTAAACAATTACCTAAACAGAACTATTTATCCAGGTTATATGCAATGCAACAAATATTTTCCTTCAGCCTTGTTTAGTCTAGGATTACCATGTACATCCCACATATGAAACCATTGCGCAGAAGTATTATACTAAATCCTGGGAAAAATGAATAACTTAACCATGCAAAAAACAGTAAAAGCTTTAATGGGAGCAGCAACTGAAACAACAACCACACAAATGTAATATCCCAGAAATAGAGTGACTTGAATTGAGCCAAAAGAAGGGTGATATCATAAATGAAGAGCAAACTTTCTCATTAAAAGTTTACAGAGTAGTGTGGCATCATAAGCACACACAAATACACTAAACATCTATCTTTTCTTTTTCTGTTTTTTTTTTCATTTTTTTTTCCCCATTTTTTCTTGCTTCATCAATGGACATTCTGTCCATTCTCAACAACACCTAGACCATACAAGACACCGGCATACTTTTCCATTGATCCACTAAAGAAGTTCTCTTTCAACTTCCTAAAAGTACAAGCTGTAAGCAAGCTATCCGAACCGGCCTGATGGCAAACTCCAACTCTCTCAACCTCCAACAACTCAGCAAGCTTGTTCAATCCACCATGAAGACTATTACAGAACTTCATCAAATGCTTAATATCGAAAACCACAGGAAAATACATGTTGATTAAGTTAAAGAAACCTGTTTGAGTATCAGGCAAATCCTGACAAGTCAAGATTTTCAATAAGTAACCAAAATCATAACCACTATGAAATGTAACCCAATACACATTATCATTTAGCACAATTCCTGAAGACATTAAAAGCTCACCAAATCTCGTAGCATCAATACCCTTTTCAATATTCTTCTTGAAATCAATGCCACTCTGCCTCAACAACTCAATTGAGTCATTAGCATAAACA